GTTTTATTCACAAAATGAAAATAATTTGCTCCGATTCTCGGCCTCCATTGTACCTTGTAATCGACACGTCAAATAAACTTTTTTTTATGTATAAGGTGATCTATAAGGAAATGAAAACCAATAGCTCGAAATACTTATTAACTGGAAAATTGGCACGCAAAATTCCACGAACCCACCCTCTAGACTACGACTATAGCGAGACATTACTGTTCACGGAAACAATGACACAATGGGAAATTTGTCAGTGCTATGAATAGCGTTGTTAAGAAGCACATAATAAGCATTCATTGGACCCTGGGCATTTTAAGAGGAAGTGAATTCACATTCCGTCTCCATTGCCTCCTCAAACACTACCAGTCAATGTCTGTTTAGTTGTCCAATTTGAGCGACGAATCATTATGAGTTTTTACCTAATACTTAATCTAGGTTCAACTATACGTAATCCGCCAGCACCGCACACAAGACCTGGCTAGCCACTTAAAATGAAATGGCAAGAAGAGGGGGTTAACAGAAATTTGTTACAACCGTTTTAATCTCATGGGTGTCCGTATATGTATCATTGTTGGTTTCTAATAATTTTCAGACAGATCAGTCACTTTACCAATAGTGAAACAAATATGATCATAAGTCAAGCTCACAAATAATTCATTTACATCAATGGTTATCTGCATTTACTGCTACTACATGACATAGGGGTAAAATATTAATATATTAATAGTATGTTGCTATATGACCTTAAAGACAATGTAATTTGCTTAACAATATAAAATCCAGCATAAACCCTCACTAACAGTAAATTTTCAATCCAACTACCCACCACACTAACGGGCTGTCATCTCCCTAGGCAAATACAGCATCAACTTTTACTAACTAATTAAATAGTAAGTATGCCTAACCTCGCTATACAAATTACAACGGCCAGTCAAGTGTACAGGTCAATTACAGTATAGCTCAGTACAAACTCTTGAAAACGAATTTTGTTAATTTAAATGGAAAATCATAAACATTTCAGCACAATATCTGTAGAAGTATATTTATGATCAAAGTAATATCTATAAACTCTAATCCCGGTATTTTAACAACAAATTTGTAGCGCTAGTTAACGCACCAATTCAGTGAACGAAATATACTGCTACCAAAAACTAGAAAATTCGTCTATCACTATATACATAACTAGCAGCCTGTCGGCTGAGATAGCTCCGCTGTTACCAATGCACATTGCAATTAAAGAACAGAAGATAGAAAATGAACAATATGTATAGTATTACAGCAATCAGACTTTTTATAACTTTTTATCAAAAATATTCATTAAAATTAGATAATTGAAGAACAAAATCATCACGAAATGAACAAATCTGAAAGAGGTCTACCTGTAGTACCTATGTAGTATATATAATATCAAAGCAATTAGACTTGCGGTTTTTAACCTCTTTTTAATATCACTTTTTACCAAAAATGACAAAAATATTCATGAAAATTAGAGAATTAAAGATATCATCACGAAATGAACAAATCTGAGAGAAGTCCACATGTAGTACCTAGATATGTAATATCAAAGCAATTGGACTTTCGGTTTTCAACAAGAAGTCGAAAATATCACTTTTTACCAAAAATTACAAAAATATTCACCAAAATTAGAGAATTAAAGATATCATCACAAAATGAACAAATCTGAGAGAGGTCCACATGTAGTACCTAGATATGTAATATCAAAGCAATTGGACTTTCGGTTTTCAACAAGAAGTCGAAAATATCACTTTTTACCAAAAATTACAAAAATATTCACCAAAATTAGAGAATTAAAGATATCATCACAAAATGAACAAATCTGAGAGAGGTCCACATGTAGTACCTAGATATGTAATATCAAAGCAATTGGACTTTCGGTTTTCAACAAGAAGTCGAAAATATCACTTTTTTCCAAAAATTAAAAAAATATTCACCAAAATTAGAGAATTGAATATATCATCACAAATTGAACAAATCTGAGAGGGGTTCACCCAAGGTACCTACATACCAAGTATCAAAGCATTCGGGCTAGCGGTTTTCAACCAGAAGTAGAAGATAGCATTTTTGACCAAAAATGACAAAAATATTCGCTATAAATAAGACAATTGAACATATCCACACGAAATGAACAACTCTGAGTGAGAAGCGCCCAAGGTACCTTCTTAGAAAGTTTCACAGCTATACAGTTTGTGGTTTTTAAGAAGAAGTCGAAATGTAAAGTTGACGACGGCGACGACGACGACGACGACGGACGCCGACGGACGATCAGTAATACTATAAGCTCCGCTCGACTTCGTCGACAGAGGAGCTTAAAAACTATACCCGGAGCAGTAAGAGTAAATCCGCAACACAACATACAAGTAACGCTCCTCAGAAAGCCTCAAAATGTGTCACCACCAGTAACCAAATTTACGGACACAAATCGCCCTATCACTGATTATTAATTTACCAGTACAGATGAACTCTGACTAAAATTTAGTCAGCCGCAAATCAGGTGTGTAAGCCGGAACTCTGACTAGTTCAAGCCGTGAAGTGAGGGAAACACCTTTAAAGAGTCGATACAATGTTTTGTTCATTAAGAGTCGCTTCCCTAACTCACGAACTGCGATAAATGTTAACCCGACCTTTAATGACAGTGACACACTGTCTGCGAATGCCCGGCAGCCTTGTTGTGGTTTCACGGCGTTTTGGAGCGGTAAAAAATTTAAATAACAATGAAAAAAGGAAGTTATAATGAAAATATATGAACAACGTTAATTATTATGTATATAAAGACAAATTACATTTAATAAACTCGTCTTCGTAAACAGAGAAACACGTGGATTTGTTGATATCTTGAAATCACATGATAGTTTTTGATTGATTGCGGCGTTGTCGTTAACAAGGGTTGCAAAAATGGTGAGAAATGGTTGGAAAATGAACTACAACGAAGAAATAACGAACCCAGATTTCTGTCGAGGAGACATTGGGATTTAGTTTACCTTTGAGGTATTTTACTTGAGGAAAATCTGCATATTTTTGTTGTTTCCCGACCAGTTATATAGGACGGTAGCGTCATTTGCCATTTTACCACGGCTACCTTGCTGCTTGCAATCGACGCACACAATTCAACGTGGACTTTTAACGGTACCACCCATCCCGACAACAATTCTACTCCAACGTTGACATCAGCAGTACCACACTTTCCGACAACTGATCATTAAAGTCCAGTCTCACTCACTTACAACAATCAGCGTTCAGACAATAGCGTGCACAGTATGTTTTCGAACTCCACCAGTTACTTCCCCACGTCTCCGTTTTCCAGTGCCACTCTCTGCTGGAGCCTAGTCCTCCTATTTTTAGCAAATATCCGCATGGTAACTTGCCAACCAATCAGGACTTGTCTCTGCTGACCTACAGGCCTTATGTAGAATGACCTTAGTTTGTACATGGTTTGTGTGTGCTTAACCCCCACGTCCTTCTAGCGCTGTTCCTTGTAACCTTGGTTTCTAGCTCCCGCGTATTGTTTGTCATAATGCAAAGGTCAACCACTGACAATTGTTCAAGTCATTGTAATGTTAAATTTATACACTGCTTTATTTCTTCCATTTCAAGGAGCTAACGGAGCTCTCACAGATCAAAAGAAAAAGTTGATAAGTTTTGGAGATGAATTTACAGTCCAATTAAAAGTCTCTGCATGTCCTCTCGAAATGGAAGCAAGATACTTAGAAACATATGCCACAGAAGAGGCAGATGACGTATCTACCTGTAATGTACAAACTGATGTGAGTTATATTACTATATATAGGAACTATATTCAGAGATAGGCTGTATACCTCATCCACAATAAGGTTGTGCAAGGTTACATGGTACATGTATGTTGAGACTATAGTATTAATTACCTAATAATAAATCAATTTTAAATCTGTTGAAAACCATGAAATGCAAATAATGGTTGAAATATTTATACTCACGGAATCGTTACAAATTTTCGATCCCATGTGCTGGTCCTATCCTCAGAGTACGTTGAAAATAAATTCAAGAATACCAATTGCTAACAGTAGCAGATTTAATTTATATGGAATAATTGGCCCTTTCTCACATGTCAGACTTCATAAGAATTGGTGCTTCCACTTCAGTACAACGGTTCCTTTCTGAACTGTGTAACTAATAATTTAGACCATATATTCCGATGGCTTAGTTGAGCAATATAAATGCAATGAATGAAAGTTTTACTTACCCTCACTAGACCCTGACTGACCTTGATAATATGAGCGAATATATATACCTATCTGAACGAATGGTATTCGATAACATTACTCTGAACTAGTTTTCGAGGGAATTATAAAGTCAGAATACCAATTTCGTGAAATTAGCATATCATGGCAAGATTGATGGTACATACAAGAGACCTCTTAAACAACACATATTAAACTAACAATATACAATTATGTCAAATCTGGGACTGTTATTCATTGTATTTCTTTTTATCACACTAGTCGTTGCTACAAACCCGCTATGATAATAGTAACCTACCACTGAAAGGAAGGACGTTGGAACCAAGCTTAAATGTACAACCAGAAAACAAAGACAGTTCAAGTAAAATAGGTAACATATCTTAATCAAATTGTTCAATGTACAGCGTATAATACATCACCATTTAGAACAGGGGTTCAAATCTTACTCCAAGCCTGTAGACTGTTATACCCCTCACGTCCATTACCTATTTTTTTCTGCGCCAATCTAGATAGTTAACCTAGAGAGTTTTATCTATCATGTTGGGCTCATCTGTGCGTCTGGTATTCTTCCACATATTCATAACGCTGTTAAATCCCTCGAAACTAAACAAAAATCAAGACAACCATTGTGATATATTGTTCTAGGAGCTAAGAATTGTAAATGCAGGAATTTGCAAAAGCCTTATTTTCTTTTGTTATCGAGCCCTGAGAACGGTGTTGGCCTCTAGTAAAAGATCAACATATATTAATTCAGAAACATGGACGCATAGAGCCCGGAACAACAACTGGTGAAGCTGTATTGTTTCACCAGCACTTGTTAAATACCAGAAACATTTAATCAAATTTAAACGGCGTTTAGGTTGAAAATAAAATAAATAACGTAAGTTTACGTAGATACAATATATAATATAATTGCACTTAAATTAGGCTTAATTGAATTTAATTGTCATTAAATTGCATGCATGCATACGGTTTTGCAATTTATTTAAATTTTAAAATTAAATTGAATTTATTGTAATTTAACATTCAGTACTACTATTGGTCTTGTAATTCTCAGTACCTCGAATACAAAATGCAATGTTTCCAACTCGCAACGTAAAAAATCCCCTCAAATAAAACTGCCCTCATATTTCAACTAACTCGTAACAGCTTCTGATAATTTGCACACTATTCTATCTAAACAATATCACGAGCATGCACATTATCTTTGGCTATAGCGTAGTATTTTCATATTTTTTGCGGGTATTTTGGGAGTTGAAAAACTATGTCACGGTCATATTTACTCAGCGAATTCACACGTATCATCTCTATTTCAATCCATTTTCTCTGAAAAATCATTATTTTCAACTGATATTCATGTTTCCCAGCTGTACCCACCCATATTCACTCCGCTATCTTTAAAAAAAATGTTTCAATTATGCTGCTGACTTCTTCCGGGGTTGCATGTATCCGGTTCTTTTTTTGTCCACTCTCCATCCCAGAGTTCTTAACACAGGCAGACTAACACATCTCCCACACATAACCTTTCATGATTTGCCACAATACAGAGTAATTTTTGGCTTGTGTACATTTAATAAAAGGGAAACAACGCCAAATGTCTGTTTTCGGTTGAGGTGTGTTAGACCTTGAGCTTGTTTCCGTTTGGTCCTATTGTAGCAGGCATCTAGCTTGTAACCAAACAAACCATGGCTTAGTCAAGCCTGTGCTTTGCGAAATTTAAGATTTGTTCTGTAATTCAGGGTAGATAATCAAATTTACA